CCCCAAAACCCCAAAACCCCAAAACCCCAAAACCCCAAAACCCCAAGTTCTAGAAATTTGATTGAATGAACGTACATTTAGTCTGTTATGTAAAGCCTTTTAGGATAACTTTTCCTTCACTGGCATGTTCAACAGAATATTTCAGAGCCTCTTCAACATCGTCCAGGCTAAAAGTCTTTAGGACGTTCGAAGCGTAGATTGAATCATCAGATCAAATATCTTGGATTATTGTTTCCAATCATTTGACTTTCTCTTCCTTTGTCAGATTATATAGCCATTCAAACATTGTCAAGTATGTGATTGTTAGCTTTGAAAATATGAAGACACTAGGTGAAAAGCTAATGTCTTTGTCCTCTAAACTCCCCCATAATACTACTGTGGAAGATGGCGGCATTTTAAACATCACTTTTTCTACAAGTTTACCTCCTACAGCAGCAAAGTAGATAGCTGGCTTTAGTTCTCTCATGTATGAATTTAGATCTAAGTCAAAGTCATAAGCAGACGAATTGAGAACGTATTCAGCGCCCTCATTCATCATAATTTCAACTTGCTCTTCTCTTCGAACAATGTTGATAACTTTAATTCCCAATCTTGTTAGTTGTCTTCAGACCATTTTTCCGAGTGATGAGCATGCTGCATCTTGTACAATTCATTTAGCATCCTTTTTCTTGATAAAATCAAGCATTGCGAGTCAAGCAATGGGGTTTATAAAAGTGGAACACATCTTGTCGTAATCGGCTTCATCTGGATAGACCGCTCAGTCCTGAAATTCTCAATAAAGATACTGTCTCCAGCTTCCTTGATAGTTAACAGTGAAGGGATTTCCAAGGGTGGCTACTTTCTTGCCGATATATTTCTTGTCTATTTCTGATCCTGTATCGATAACTTCGCCTGCGCCTTCGAACCCAACGCCTTTGTACTCTCCTTTGGCTCCAAAGCTGAAAAAGCCGGACACAATGTACCTATCATTAGGATTGATAGGCATTGAGTGCATTTTAACAAGAACTTCTCTAGGTCTGAGGTCTCTAAATTCTCTGTCAATAACGGTGACCTTTGTATGGTCGGTAACAACAGCTTTAAAAGTTCTCTCTTCCATTAGTTAAGAGTAATAGATTAAATATAGAATATTAACTCAATTTATGTGTCAGGGTGAGGGGTTTTGGGGTTTTGGGGTTTTGGGGTTTTGGGGTTTTGGGGTTTTGGGG